ATATTGTTTTTAGCTTGATATAAAGATTTATAATTCAATATAAGTAATCCTGATCAATTTTTGATATTAAATATAATATGTAAAGATTAGAAATGATTGCCTAAATATTATAGTAAAGTCGTTGAGTAATAATATGATTACAATAATAAGTTGTTTGAACAGGTTAATTCCATTAAGGCTAGTATAGAAAAAAGCTTTATCTAAAATAATTAATTAATTGTCATGTTAACCTTTAGTAACTATACTTTAGTTACTATTACACTTTAACAAACTATAACATTTGGAAAGTTATTATGAAATAAATAATTATTTGAGCTTAAAATTTTATTTTAATATTAACTTAATTAATTTTAGAATTATTTATAATTATTGTTGTTGGCAAACTTGATATCCGGATTGGTGATAGGCACATTTTAGACCTTTATCGCACCCGCAGTACGCGCTCTAATTTGTTACATAAATAATAATAAACTATTATCAACATACACAATTTTCAAATTATAATAGTTCAAGTCATTAATATGAATGATTTGTTTAAAAAATAAACGATAAAATAGTATATTCTAAGGTAAAAAGGTCATTTGATTAAAAATGTGAATGTGCTGACAATGTAGTAGTTTCTTAACCTCTGACCTAGAAAAGTAGGTCTACCTAAACCTTACATAACAACATAACATATGGTGATCTAATAAGGCAGAAAAATAATACAAACTTAAGCATAGGCTTTAAAGATCTTACCTTGGTATTGCAGATTTCATCAAGCTCAAATATTTTAGTACAGTTGCCGTATGGGAGTGGGTTTCTGATGTCAATGGCGCAGCAGTCGTTGTTCTGACAGTCGGCGTCCCCACCGCACAAGTGGCCCTCAATTGCGGTACCAAAACACGACAATATTATTGAACATAATATGATATAAAGTTTCATAATTTATTAATTAGTATTTTAAATTTTTTGTAGTTTAATAAATATAGTTTTCAAACTAGTAACTATTGACTAGTTCATTCGTAATAAATAG